ATAGACTCCTGGGCCCAGCCATCAGAGTATGCCACCTCAAAAAACATCTCTGCAAGGAGGGGAGATATGGGGGAGGAAGGGAAGAGACAATTGGTCTGTGTTGCAGGCAGCTTAATGGAGCTGAAGCCAGATTAGATCAAAATGAATCTGAACAGCTAAACTCTGAGCAGGCAGCTGAGCTCTGGAAACATGTAGGATACCCAGAAGAAACACAGCTAGGGAAGGCAAATGGAGAGACCGTTGGCTGTGGTCATTTCAGTTGGACACATGGATGAATGAGGAAGGAGCGTGGTCCTACTGGGAAGGATTGGCACAGTTCTGTATGCGGATGGCATTTCTTTATCCAATTTGAGCAAGAATGTCCTGTCATTTGAGACACTGACTCAAATGGGCATGGTGGTGTTGGGTTGACGGTTGGACTCGATGATCTTAGAGGTCTTTTCCAACCTTAATGATTCTATGATTCTATGAAAAGCAGGGATGGCAAAAAAGAGATTCATGACAAAGACCCATTTGGGAAACATTGTCCTCTTCAGCTGTCATTTGCAGGCATGTACCAGAGGTATGCGCTCTTCATGAAGCATGAGGGGAGGGTGGAGAATATGAATTACTGAGAAGACTGGACACCATGCATCACAGCCATTCTCATTCTACATCTCCAGGAGCATCCCTAGCCTTACTCATGACCAAGTGGGAAGATTTTTAGTGGTTGATCCTTTATTATTAAAATCACAGCAGATTCATTATGCTGCAAGTTTGCTACATGCCAGGGCGTGAACTGCGAGTAGCCCATGAGTAGGTTTTAATTGCTCACTGTTCTCCTTGTCAAAGAAGTCTTGTTGATACCCCATCCAACTTATTCTGTAACCACACTCGGTCAGTTATTCATGCAGTAGTAGCTTCAAAGTGCCCCTGTATTTTTGTCTTTAGCAACTCTTTTTTTCTTCCAAACTAGCCATGGAAGTAGCCTTATCAGAAAAATATCCAACGGGATTATAATACAATCATGCATTCAGTTCAACTGAGCAACACACTGATGTTAGGCAAAAGGAAGACATATACTGGGAACATAGCCAGGAAGTCCCTAACATAATGTCACGCAAAAGAAAATGCGTTTGCTAACAGGCAAATCTTTCTAGTGGTTGGGAAAGCGAAGCACCATTTCCACACCTGTAGCCTGAGCCTACACAGAAACTTCAGCATCAGAGCCCAGAGCAAGCTTCTTCCTTCAGTCATTTATCTAGTGCAGCTCCACCCTTACAGCAATGCTGAGAATGTAGATAGAAAGAGGTCAGTGGAATTTTTCCATCACCATGACACGAGCTGTTATTACTGCTTTACCTGCAAAATAATTTTATAGTCCCACAAACTAGAGTCCTCATCTATGAGCTAACAATATTCATACTCACCCATGTCCTCAGGTGCTGAGCTGTTCTCAAAATCTGAAGAAACTTTGAGGGCAGCAGCCTCCGAAAAAACCTGCAGTCCAACAGAAATGTCTGAGCCATTGCAGTGTCCTGTCAACATCCTGAGTGTAATCTCAAAGACATCTGGAATGAGCTGCTCTTCTGAGACCTTCCTCTCCACGTCCTTTTAAAAACCATTCCTAGGGACTTATACATGGATACGTTTTCCTCTTCCGCTGGCCACTCAGCTCCTTACCAGAGATACGTTTTGTGGGGACATTTGACTTCGTACCTTCCAAGCCAACAAACACTGGAGTGGCAGGCACCTGACAAAATACACACATTTACTATGGAGAGGTCCTCAGGTGACCTAGTCCTCACCTTTGAAAGGTGCCTTTCAAAGCTGGTGAAGGGAAACACGTAATCTACAGTGCCATTCATTTTTTGATGAGGCTTTTGTCTAAAGCGGTTCTGATGAATTGTGCATGTGTCTGCCTGACTGCAAAAAGAAAGAAAGATGGATGGTGACTCACCCGGGAGACATCAATGTTACAGAAGGAAGGCTGTACATAAATCAGATGACTGCCACTTGGGATTTTGTGTCCTGCCGTGCTGGTTTTGGTTAAACCACGACACCTGCTTCAATCTGTTTCTGGCTGTGCAAATTCTCAAAAGTTATTGTCTTCCGCATTTTCTGTTAATTGGTGCTCCCACAACTTTTGGCCCTGGCCACATAGATCCCCATGACGGGCACTGGCTTCTTTGTTATGCTGTTCCTTTTATTGTGCTGGATACCCACAGCAACATGCACCATAAGCTATTCTTATGATTTAAGTTTTTAGGTTTAATATCTTCATCAATGACATAGTGGGATCGAGTGCACCCTCAGCAAGTTTGCAGATGACACCAAGCTGAGTGGTGGGGTCGACACGCCAGAGGGACGGGATGCCATCCAGAGGGACCTGGACAAGCTCGAGAAGTGGGCCCGTGTGAACCTCCTGAGGTTTAACAAGGCCAAGGGCAAGGTCCTGCCCCTGGGTCAGGGCAACCCCCGGTATCACTACAGGCTGGGGGATGAAGGGATGGAGAGCAGCCCTGCTGAGAAGGACTTGGGGGGACTGGTGGGTGAAAAGCTGGACACGAGCCAGCAATGTGCGCTCGCAGGCCAGAAGGCCAGTCGTGTCCTGGGCTGCATCACAAGAAGCGTGGCCAGCAGGTCGAGGGAGGTGACCCTGCCCCTCTACTCTGCCCTGGTGAGACCCCCCCTGGAGTACTGCGTCCAGCTCTGGAGCCCTCAGCATAAGAAAGACACAGACCTGTTGGAGCGGGTCCAGAAGAGGGCCACGAAAATGATGAGGGGGATGGAACACCTCTGCTATGAAGAAAGGCTGAGAGAGTTGGGGTTGTTCAGCCTAGAGAAGAGAAGGCTTTGGGGAGACCTTACTGCAGCCTATCAGTACTTCAAGGAGGCTTCTAAAAAAGGTGGCAGCAGACTTTTTAGCAGAGCCTGTTGTGACAGGACAAGGGGGAATGGCTTTAAACTAAAGGGGGGTAGATTCAGACTAGATCTAAGGAAGAAATTTTTTATGCTGAGGGTGGTGAAGCACTGGCAGAGGTTGCCCAGAGAGGTGGTGGATGCCCCATCCCTGGAAACATTCCAGGTCAGGCTGGACGGGGCTCTGAGCAACCTGATCTAGTTGAAGATGTCCCTGCCCACGGGAGGGGGGTTGGACTAGATGGCCTTTAGAGGTCCCTTCCAACCCAAACTATTCTATGATTCTATGATTCTATGATTTAGCAAGGCTCACTATTTAGATTAGCTCATGGTAAGTCATCTAGGTCTGTATCTGGTGATAGGCATTGCTGCCAACGTGGGACATGAAGCAGTAGCTGGAGGGACAGGCTTCCTGATACAGCTGTCAGTCCTGCCAGTCAAAGGCACCGCTGATGATATTGAAGTGTTGACAAAGTGATGTCAACCACTTCAACGTTCAGTCGCAGACTCAGTTACAGTCCCTGGTTTTGACAAAGTTAAGTGATATCTTAAGTTAATGGAGAGAAGTCCATTTCCTTTCTCCTGTCCTCTGCACAACCAAAACCTAGTTGATAAAGAGGGAAAAACTCCCTGCTAATGGGAGGGATGTTCCAGCCCCTGTAACTGGTCAATCTTTGCATGTTGTCCACTCCTGCACTACTGCAGAAGGTTGTTCAGAGATTGTCAGTGCCATCAGCTGATCAAAGTGTGGACCAAGACATCAGAGACTCCCAACCAAGAGCAGCCCCCATGAATACTCCCAGCACCCTTCAGCCTTGTCTCTAAAGCATCCAACTTTCAGATGGAAAATCACACGGTCACAAGATCCTCTCACATGTTAGAGCACGCACTTATGGGTTACAAGGCAAACACTTTCACATATGGTTTGCAGCAGCTATCACCAGGACAGAAAGGGGAATCACAACATAACGATGAATGCAAGAGGCTTTCATTTGAGGACACATCCAGGCTATGTCTACTGTGGTCTTTAAAGGGGCCAGGATCCATCCTCTGATCCTAACGACAACTGTCACAGCTCATGCCTGCATAACTGAACTTTCTTATCCCTCCAACCAGAATGTCCTCATTGGAAACATCCTTGGCCCACGCTATGCTTCAGAGTGTGCCTGGGCATTGCCTGGGACACATCCAGTGGGTTCAGGCCATAACAGGGCCAGGCACCCTGCCAAATGCTACACATCCTAGGTAGTCCTCAAGTCCACAGTAGGACTGATACAGGTTAAAGGACCCCTGCAACGCCTGACTTGTGGATATCGATCCCTCTGGGGTACAGTCCAGAACCATGTGTTGGACATTTTGCATGTCTTCTGCAAATGCTTGGGGGACCTACGTTCCCAGGGCTGACCAAACACAGCTGGCGAGGTGATGTCTGAAGGGATTGTCCTCAACCCTGCTGCTGGAAGAAGAGGAACCTGCAGATGTAGAGTCCATGTCCCTGGACTCCCCTTTTTTCTCTCAAAGCACTGAACAGAGCTCACTTTTTTTTCTAAAAATATAGCGGGTGTGGAGGATTTCCTCCCATCTACAGAAGTGCACCTACTTTTTATCCTAGAGGTTAGTGTGCTTAGGCCAGAATTTGGGAGATGTGAATACAATTTCCTTCTCCGCTTGGAGAGGTTCAATTTCCCATCTCAAATCTTCAGACAGGGTGTTGTCGTGGTTTAATCTCAGTCAACAACTAAGCACCATGCAGCCACTCGCTCACTCCCCCCCACCCAGTGGGATGGGGGAGAGAACTGGAAGAGCACAAGTGAGAAAAAACTCGTGGGTTGAGACAAAAAACAGCTTAACAATTGAAATAAAATGATAATAATAATAATATGATAATAACAATAATACACAAAGCAAGTGATGCACAGCACAACTGCTCACCACCCGCCAACCGATGCCCAGCCAGTCCCCGAGCAGTGGCCCCCCTGGCCAGTAATACACAGAGCAAGTGATGCACAGTGCAATTGCTCACCACCCGCCGACCGATGCCCAGCCAGTCCCCGAGCAGTGGCCCCCCTGGCCAGCTCTCCCCAGTTTATGCACCGAGCATGACGTCCCATGGTATGGAATGTCCCTTTGGTCAGTTTGGCTGTGCCCCCCCCCAGCCTCTTGTTCACCTCCAGCCCTCTCAGTCGGCAGAGCACGGAAAACCAAAAAGTCCTTGGCTAGTGCAAGCATTACCCAGCAACAACTAAAACATCGGTGCGTTATCAACTTTGTTCTCATCCTAAATCCAAAACACTGTACCAGCTACTAGGAAGGAAATTAACTCTATCCCTGCCGAAACCAGGACAGGTGTACAAACTACCAAAATGAAGCACAGGCATGGGAAGAAAGGGGTAAGAGCTCTTTACAAATTAACTGAGTCATTGCTGGGACTCTGGATTTCTCTTTGATACTCCCTTACGTGAAGACACGTGTGTTTTGTATCAAACAGCCCCTGGAAGACCTAAAGAGCTCCTAGTGGAAGGGTGCTCACTGAGTCGTGCTCACACTTTCACCCTTCTCCAGCCCAATGAAACCTGCATTCCTTTCTGCCCGGTGGCAGAGTTTCATCAGGAGGGTGGAGAGAAACTCCACCCGAACAAGCCTACAGTCTTGTTATTAGCGCACACCCGTGAGAGGTGGGAGCTTCGATTAACTGAACACATCATCAAGCATCACTGCAGCCATGAGCAGGGACAGCATGTTTTCCTGCTACTGAGTCACAGACACAGATGATAGAACCCACAGACACAGTCATCCAAATGGTCCCCAGCTAAAACCTACCCTCCCTGAATCACAGGAGCTGAACTCAAGTTGGCTCAATACACTGATCAGTAGTCTCTCTATTTTCCAATACTGCAGCCATCACCATGATATCTGGAAACCTGATAGCAGACTCCATCCTACGAAGCAGCTCCCAAGAAAGACATTGAAAGGGCAACGAGGCTGGTGAGGGGTCTGGAGAACAGACCCTCTTATGAGGAGCGGCTGAGGGAACTGGGGTTGTTCAGCCTGGAGAAAAGGAGGCTGAGGGGAGACCTCATCGCTCTCTACAACTCCCTGAAAGGAGGTTGTAGCGAGGTGGGTGTCGGTCTCTTCTCCCAAGTGACAAGCGATAGGACGAGAGGAAATGGCCTCAAGTTGCGCCAGGGGAGGTTGAGATTGGATGTGAGGAAAAATGTCTTTACTGAAAGAGTGGTGAAACATTGGAACAGGCTGCCCAGGGAAGTGGTTGAGTCCCCATCCCTGGAAGTATTTAAAAGACGTGTAGATGAGGCTCTTAGGGACATGGTTTAGTGGGCATGGGGGTGTTGGGTTGACGGTTGGACTCGATGATCTTAGAGGTCTTTTCCAACCTTAATGATTCTATGATTCTATGAAATCAGTTTGACTGATGCCACGGCTACAATGCCACGGCCACAGTGTCAAACACAGTTGTTTCATGCTCATCTCATGACAGAAGGATCCATTCTGCTTATATCTGGGGCTGGAGTGGCTGTTGCTGCAAGACATCTAGTTCTGGCTTGGGCAATGCAGGAGAGAAGGTGGTAAAACAGAGGTGGTTCAGAGAAGGACCACTGGAAGGATTAAAGCCCTGGAGGACAGACCTTCCAGAGAAGGAGTCAAAAAGCCCACCAAAGCCTATCAAAGGGATATCTTAGACAAAATGCATCTCCATCAGGGAGAAGAAAATTGCAACAGTGAGCAATTAAGTTTAGTAGAGGGGTGTAACGACAGCCACTGGCTTTAGGAGCTGTATAAATCAGAGCAGAAATATTTTACACAGGGGTTATTTTACGTGTGGCTGATAACCGACCGCTGGAACAGCTTATCAAAGCTCGGTGTACGCTCCCTGTCACAGGACATCTCTACAAAATTTGGTTCCTTTTTCTTTCAAACGAGAATTAACTGTTATGGAAGTTAGATCAGATAGTTATAAAGCACATGGTGGCCGCCTTGCCTGTGAACGCTGAATTTATGTCATCTGCCTTTCCTTGCATATGTGATAAGCAGAGAGAGAGATTGTATCTACCTAGATTACCTTATAAATAAGGACAGTCTCACAGGGACAGGCTGGTAGTGGTTTTGGATTGATACCACTGAAAATTCAGAGATGTTTTTGGCACAGAAGCCTTTCTCCCTATATACCACGCCTCATTGATAGTCTCAGATCTTCAGACCTGAAATGACATTTCAACTGGAGTCCCTTATGGCTCCTGTCAGTCAGTGTTCAAAACCTTGCTCAGGGTTTATTCCGCCACTGACAAAGACAGATGGGAATTTAGGTCCTCCTGAGTCCTACAAGCTGTCTAAGTCTATCCTAACTGCTGTATCAAACCACTTCTTTCACATATTTATCAAGCTCCATCTTAAAGCAGGTGGGATTTCTACCCTGCCTTTGCTTTTAGAAGGGACCCAATTTTTCCTAGCGTTTAAAACCCTGCCTCTGATTTCCAGTCTAATTTAACTCATGCTACTCTTAACTCAGCTCTGGTCCAGTGTGACATTTTAGCTTAAGGAGTTTTTCTTTCTATAGCTCTGTTTTCGATTCTTTCAATGTATTTCTGGGGAAAAAAATCGTATCTCCACTCAGCCTCTGTTCTGCCAAATTAAAAGGGGCCAGTGTTTTCCAGCGTCATCTTTTTGGGTGGATTCTGTTCTCCCAGTCTTCCCATTAGTTTCCATCTGCATTTTTTTTTCCATCAGGAGCCCATTTTTTCTTGACAGGGGCAATGAAATTCCAGGTGAGAAGCCACGAGGGCTTCCCTAATCACCCTGCTAACAGCCTCCCTTACACCCCAACACACAATTTGACATCACCTGAGTCTGTTTGTGTTTGGCTTTGGGGTTTTTTTTTCAGGGCTTTATCTCACCAGAGGCTCCTAGCTATCTTTAGATCAACTAATACCTGTAGGTCTTCCCTTTCCTCCGCATTTTTACTGGCGTGTTCCTAACTTCTCTCTCCCTGAAGTCTGGCACTCCTGCACACTTAGTCAGTCTTCAGGAGCTTTAACAACCCCAGCTCTGGTGGTTTCCCGATGCTCTGCCTTACGGCCAGATCTCAAACCTTTTTAAGCCATTAGACAGAGTTAAGTGGCTTTGCACTGGCCAGAGGCAAACTATCCTACCGTGCTGATGCATCTCATGTCCAGACACCGCAGTGATGGACAGCCTCCACCAAGTTGGACAGACTCATTTAGTTTCCTATTTATATCACTATTCCTTCAACCACCCTGATTTATTCCAAGGCTTTCTCGGTATGCGATGCCTTTCAAGCACGGGCACACCACTACAACATGCCTGTGTGGACATCTCCGGTTCTGCAAGCTACACACAGTCAGCCTTTTAATGATGTGAACATTGGAATGCCAATCCCGCTGTGCTTACCTATTGAGGCATAACCACCTTGAATGCTGAAAGCACTGGATCTTTTCCAGTTTCATGGCTGTTAGTTAAGATATTGCTCAAATGTGCCTTGAACTGCCCAGTTACAAGAAAGGATCTGGATGTAACCAGGTGTGGTGGCTTTCACAGAGCAGAGTCTTTCCTATATACCCAGGGAGGTATGTTTGCGCTGTTTTTCTTTACGTACCTGGTCTCTGACAGCACAGCAAGATAAAATAAAGATAAATGGTGGCTTTCACCCTAACAGCCAAGCGAGCATTAAGGTGCATGTCTTTCCCTCCCTTTCCCACGGCACAGTACTGATCCCGCTGCCGCAGCTCAGTCAGCTTTGTGTCATCCGTGACTGTGGAAATTTTCATTAGCAATGCTTCTCAAGCTACTGAGAACCCTTTAGGGAGCAGCACTTTCCCAAAAAGCCCCGTTCTTAATCTGGGAGAAAGGACAGGCTGCTGAGAATGGTAGCAATGCCCACGTGCATCACCGCAACAAGCCTGTGACAAGCAAAGTCATTAAATCAGCTTGTGTACTCACCTTGTCTCCATCCCTGAACTCTCCGAGTGCTTCACAGTGATTCACAAACTTTTCTTCTTTGGCTTATTCAGCTGTTTTACGGGAAATTGCATAATGTTTGGTGTTTTCCACCCTGGATGAAAACAAAAACAACAAAAAGTCTATCAACTTTTCCTATGAAATATAAAATGCCATTGGTTCAGTCAAAAGGGAGGAGCAAAGCATTTCTCCCTAACTGCAAGCTTTTTAAGCTCTTTCCACAAATATTGTATAAGATACAAAAATTTATTATGTTGGAAAGGGTTGCCTTGAAATGCATAAAGTGACATTTTCTATCAGGAAGGTAATGCAGTGGGAAAATTGATCCATTTCTCCATGTTGGGTTTATTTCCCAGCTTCAGAATAAAATTTGGTAAATAGTTGACAGCTTTACAAAAGAAGGCACAGCGCCCTGCTCTGCCAGCATGACCTGGGACCATGAAACAAAATGACACATCCAAATCCCAGGCTTGGAAGCACCATCTCCCATGCTCACCTCCACTGGCCTTTCAATGACTCCCCATGCCCAGCAGCTCAGCACCAGGGCTCAGTTAATAACTAAGCCCCTGGGAGCCAGAAACCAGGCTTGCTTTTGCACTGGATTTGGGAAAATAGACATGCTCTGGGAAAATCCAGCCACGCCAGCTTCCCGCCTGCCGGTGTGGAGAGCAGTAGGCATGAAAACATGGCACAGGTTTTGGTGAGGCTGAGCCAACGCGAGTGAAAGCCCAGCCTGCTGCCACCTGCACCTTGACTGCTGTTGCCCAATGCAACATGCATGACACAACCCAGCTCTCGGCTCGCAGAGCCAGACTTGAAGGAATAAACATAACTTGTCACATTCCCCATCCAAGTACCAGCATGGGGCCACCCCTTGCAGCGCAAGCTGTGTTTTTCCTTTTCCATGGGACCAGCCCCAGGACATAAACCTGAAGAAGAGATGATGTATGGCAGGAGTCTGCTCACTGCGGTGATGTCACCTCCTCGGGGAACTTGTTCCTCTACAAATCCCAATCCAGACTGGAGCTGAGCTCTCCCCTGATCACCCCGAGGCAATCCGCCCACAGGATCAACAGGAGGTGGAGGGCGGGAAAACATATAAAGCTCCCTGGGAGCAGCTCTTTTTTACTGTCCCAGCTGCACGGATCTGCTCTCAGCATGAAGACTCTTCTGGTTGGGCTCCTACTTGGTCTGGCATACGTGGAATTGGGTAAGACCGCTGCATTCCCGACACTGCAGGGACCCCCTTGGGAAATGCCTGGGAGGGGAGGGGAAAGGCATCAGTGCAGAAAGACCTGGTAATCCCCAGGTAGGGGAAATAACACCTTCATGTATTTAAGAAGGTCAACGGAGAGAGTGAATGGGGAAAGGGGATATGCATTCTTGGTGGGGAGAGCCTTGACACCTGACGGAGAGCAACGCACATCGTTCAGGCACATAGGTGGTCGCCTGTCACCTGACCCTGCTCACACCGTACCCGGGGACGGGGGGGACCGACACGCTGCTTTATAAGACTAAGGTGTAACTGACAGCCACACGGTACAGGGCAGTACAAGCATGGGCAAGAACCTGAACCGACAGCCTCTGCTTAAGCTGCCAACCTGTCCCCGCAGGGATGGGATGTGGTGTGTTCATCCTGAGCTCCTGCCATCCCTAAAACTTCCTGGCTGCCTGCTGGAAGCACTGAAAACCAGAGGGCGAGGCTTCAGTGTAGATATGAGTGAGAGTATGAGAAATAACTCCAAGGACTTTGGAAAGGTTCATTAAACCACCAGCTCCAGGGTTTTCACTTATTTCTAGAGACTAGGAGATAGGTGGAGATTGGAAATTCCCCTGGGTCTGTTTGGGTTTGGTCTCTGATGAGTCTGGATCTTGGGCAAGCTGGCAGCACGGTCTGGTCATCGCTGTGTTCTTACTCCATCTATTTGTAACCCACTTGGCCTGGAACAGAGTCATCCTTGGGGTGACACCAACCCAGTGGGTTTTAACCTCCAGCCCATGGGTCCCAGAGATCCTCAGGCTGCTTTTATGAGATTCTGAAAGATCTCTGAGGAAAGGCAGCCCGGGCAGGGGTCGAACATCTCCATCTGGAGGCACGTCTACATGGAGATCATTCAGAGGGTTGCAAGTGGAAGAAGGCTGAAAGGCATACACCTTGCAATTCTTATGCATGGAAGTGTGTTGGGTCTCTTCTTCAGGCTGCATTTTTTTTAATCCCCCTACCCTCATTCCTCCTTCCACCTGTCTCTAAAGCAAACCCAACTGCTGGCTGAAGGACATGCTTTGGATCAAACCCACCCCAGGGCTGAACCAGGACAGGTGCAGTTACTTCTATACAGCTACTGCAGTTTTTTACATTTCAGTACCTGCTGGTTCGTTGTTTTTTTTTTTTTTTCATTCTTTCAAGATATTTCACAGGTGGCATATTATGTATTTCTTCTCCTCCTTCTGGGCCTAGTCCTGTCCTGGATTTAATGGGGCTGCTGAGGAACCGACAGAGCAGGTCTCCACCCACAGGTCTCGAAGCGTTTTGTGGAAACAGAGAGGCATGACCACCCTTTGCTTTATAGTTGAGATGGAGGCAGAAATGGCTTTTCTGGGAAGATCCAGTGGGAGGCAGCTGGTCTAGGCACAGCTCTTGCAGCTCAGGAATATGTCTGTGATTCAAAATATACCACTCATTTTCCAGAGGTTTGAAATCAAGGGGTAGAAGGTGCTGTTGGACAGTGATGAACGGTGAATTATTGGCCTCAGATCAGGGCACAGCACTGTCCTCTGTGTTCAGCTCTTCTCTTTTGCTCTGGTCCTTATAGTTTTGGGCTTTCCTCTTCCACTGCAGCCTTCCTACAATACCAGTATCCTCTGAGTGCCCCACCCAGAGTCAGTGAAAGATAAGGGGCTGATGGTTTACTTCCTTAAACTTACTTTTAACTGGAAGTAACTTCCCCAGAGCCCATGGTACTGCCCTGCTCACCCATCAAAACGATGAGGTTTAGAAACCAGCTCAACCCGAAGGTTGCAGATCAGTTCCTCAGATGCTTTAAACTAGCACTGCTCCATCCATACATAAGCCAGTCCTACACACACACACAATCGTCCCTATGCTTGCAAGGTTGACAACGTTGTTTTTTCTCTCTCACTATAAAACATATAAAACAGCCTCTCATGGGTCATTTGGAAGGGATCTACTGAGGTCCTCAGCTCGGATAAATAGGGATGGCTCCACCTGTTTACAAAGGATATGGCCACAAGAACACCACCACTGCTCACGTTAAAAAGCCCTTCCTACCTCTGCAGAGAGGACAAAGAAAGCTTTTGCATCGTGTAAGCTCTATTGCACAGCTGAATTTTCCAAAGGAGGTGCTAAGAGAAGTAGATGCCCTGAAAATTCTTTCTAGAGTCACATTTTTTAAGCAACTGCCTTCAAAAATGTTTATCCTTATCACAAAGTCCCAGAAGCTTCTAACGGCAGATGCTGCAGAACTGTAACAAGAAAACATTGTCCCTCTGCAATTTTACCAGTAGATGGCAGCGGACACATTTGGGTGGTTCTTCAGCTGCCGTGCTGGTGGAAGGCAGGTAGGCTAGAAAGTATCAAACCAGGCTGGTTTCTGTCATCAAGCCACAGCAGCATGACTCCAAAAAATATGTACAGTTGGTATCTGCCGGCTGTGGACAGACAGGTCTCGTACCGAGACTTTTGAGCAACTGCTGTGATCAATGCTTGCATATGTAAAGGTATCCCTGCGTCAGCAGGCAGCCAGCAAGAGCTTAGTAGCATCATCTCTTTTAAAATCAGCAGTAGCCCCTGATGAAAGTGTTTTTTAGGCCACATTCAGCCCTTAGGATCTCTGGTACAGCTCTGACATTTAAATTCTGCTCTAAGTTACTAAGGTCTGCAGAAATCCCTCTAAACAAGCACGAAGGAGCTGTCACTGTGGGTGGAGGGACGGGGGAAGTGCCAGTCTTTCGGTGCTGGTGAATGTTACTCTCAACAGAAGGAGCTATTTTGCTCTCTGTTACAGCATCTCTTACGGAGGATGCAAAGATCCTATCAAACCTGCTCAGGCAATAGGTCTCTCTAGATCCCTGCTTTTTTGGGGGGCTGCTGAGCCCCCAAGGTAGTGATCATGCTCAGTTCCCGCAACACCATCCTTGTCCTTTGGTGCTGGGGTTTGGTCTTTCCCCCTTGACATATCCAGGCTTTGCCACTTTCTCCAGCTGTGTTTAATTTCTGTGCTCACTGTGTCTTGGACAAGGGGGGGATGAAGCACTGACTGTCACATAGTCCCCACCACAGCGCAGAGAAGCTGCAGACTTGCTGTCTGTCTTTGCTGCTGCGACCACCTCAGACCCATTCTGTTCCCCTCTGCAGCCCAGTCCTTACGATGTTACACATGCAAGGAACCAACGGACATTGCTAAGTGCAGAACAGCCACCCTGTGCCCCCCAAAAGCCAACGTGTGCACAACAACGCTGCACTCCGTAGACTCAGGTAAGTTTCTTTGCTTGCTGTGAGTGCTCGAGAGGAGAGATGCATCCTTCGTGGGCCAAATTACCTCATGAACTTAGAATCATAGAATCATAGAATCACAGAATCACACAATGGTTTGGGTTGGAAAGGACCTTTGAAGGTCATCTAGTCCAACCCCCCTGCCGTGGGCAGGGACATCTTCAACTAGATCAGGTTGCTCAGAGCCCCGTCCAACCTGACCTGGAATGTTTCCAGGGATGGGGCATCCACCACCTCTCTGGGCAACCTGGGCCAGTGTTTCACCACCCTCATCTTAAAAAACTTCTTCCTTAGATCTAATTTGAATCTACCCTCTTTTAGTTTGAAACCATTACCCCTTGTCCTATCGCTGCAGGCCCTATTAAAAAGTCTGTCCCCGTCTTTCTTAGAAGCCCCCTTTAAGTATTGAAATGCTGCAAGAAGGTCTTCCCGGAACTTTCTCTTCTCCAGGCTGAACAACCCCAACTCTCTCAGCCTGTCCTTATAGGAGAGGTGTTCCAGCCCCCTGATCATCTTTTTGATCCTCCTTTGGACCCGCTCCACCTGGTCCATGTCTTTCCTGTACTGAGGACTCCAGAGCGGAGTAGAGGAGCAGAATTACCTCCCTCGACCTGCTGGCCACACTTCCCTCGCCCCCTCCTAGTCCCAGCTTGGATTATCCTTCACTTTTAAAGTTTTAAACACTTTACTTTTAATTCCCCTCCATTGCACAAAGTCAGTGTTTCTTGATGCCAGCTGTCACCTTCCTTTACCATTTCTTTCTCTGTCTTATTCTTCTCCCTCTCTCCAACCTGCCTGTTTCAGGTTACCCATTTTTTGGCAACATCACTGTGACCAGAAGCTGTGAGGAGGAATGCCACTCCTATAACGGGATAGGGACGACCAGGCCCAAGTCATGCTGCTACACTGACCTCTGCACCGATGACACCAGGAGTGTCAGTGGGGTGGGAAGCAACTCTGCAGCGCTGGGTCTGATGACCATGGTTGTTGGCACGCTCCTCCAGTGCACTCTGTAATGCCATAAGTGCCCATGCTCCAGCCAAAACATCCCCACTCCTCTCTCTCTGCCAAGCTGCCTCGTGAACCCTTAGATGCCTTGGGAATAACCTTCTTCGCTGATGTGTGGCTTCACCCATCTTCAATGCTGTGAATTGAAGTGGATTCAAGCCAAGAGTTTGGGCACCTGGACCTAAAACCCTCAAATTTCCAGTTTCCAGCTGCTAAGCAGATGTTCCTCACCTTCAGCTGCTTCTGGCCTCCAGGACCCACCTTTCCCCCTACAGCTTTCCTCTGTGGGGAGCAGTAGTGGGTGAAGCGCTGCAGCTCTGCGCGGAAGGAGGGCCTGGGCAGTGGCATCAAGGCTGGTGCTCTGGGGTCACCCTCAGCAAGAGCAGGGGCTGTATGCACACTGGACGTGGACAATGCTTTTTTCCCAGGTCTCCTCAAGCTCCCACGCAACCTGTGTCTCTGGGCCTCTATTATATTCCTGTGCACAACCCCAAAAAAATCCTGCAACCCTCCACCAGGAGCTCGGTTTATTTTCTTTCCATTTTTGGTGCCGTCTCTTGAGTCAGAGCAGCAGATGGATGTTGGTCCCCTCTCACTACCTGCTCAGCAGAGTGTGGTTTGCAATTGCAGAGCGCTGGCACTTAGCTCTGTCTAGAATAAGCTACGGAATGAATTCAGAAGGGCTCAGCCTTCATGCATTGAGATGGAACGTATTTCTGGAAAACTCAAAACATGTCCTGGACTAACAGGCTGGGGCGGGTTAGACCTGCAAAAGAAAATTTGTGAGTTTGGCTAGCCAAAACCTCCTTCATCAGCCCTTTGCCTGAGCTTGGGTTGCAATCAGAGCTCCTGGATTTCCCTTCCCAGATGTTTTACAGACCATTTCAAGCAACTTCTTCTGTTACCCTGCCCTCCCCTGTCCCTTCACAGCAGGGACAGCAGGAAAAGAAAAGTAATGATTATCCCAGATCCTCAACTCTGGGAAAAGTAAATGGCTCCACTCACGCCGGTTAACAGCACTACTGGGTCCCAGCTGGGGATTTGCTCCATCCTCCCTTGGAGCAGCTGTAAGATTGATTTTGATGCCCTGTCTGCTGTAAAACCAGACGGAGTGGAAGCGGATATAGATGAACCAGGCGTGCCCAGCTCGCAGCCCTCTCTGGTCGGGGAGAGCTGGGGAACTTGCCATTTGCTCTGTTCCTACTGCCAGGGCTGGTCCAGGGGACAACCTGCAAGAGCAAGGGCAGAGTGGAGCATGGGTACATCCCACGCACCATCCTTGTGCGTTCATGCCATCCCTGCCGCCTCCTCTGTGGCAAAGTCCATTTTTACTCTGTTTTCATAAGACAGCAGCCAGGAAACTAAAGGAATAAGCAGGGAGACTCTTTTTTTTTCATTGCACAGAGGTAATTGTTTCTCAAGGTCTGTCTCAGTACCATTTGCAAGAAAACTTTGACAAGGCATTGCATTCCTTGGCAGAGGGCCTCGTGCAAGCCTGGGGCTTGGGAGGCTGATGAGCCCTTTTTTTTCTGGAGGTGAAATGCTCCTTGCTTCACTAAAACAGCCACAGCTTCCCCGAGACACCCTTCCAATGCTGACGTCTACGGGGGGGGAAATGCCATTGAGAGGATAATGATTGGGAGCTACTCAAATACTGATATTACACCCACCTTTGCAGACACAGAGCACCAGCTTCTGCTTCTACTCGTCTATTCTGTTTCCCTGCTTCAAAAACAGTCTGATGTGTCAGGCCAGAAGCAAACCACCATCACTGCCATCCTTAGTTCATATCGCTTTTTCCATCCTGGGTTCAAGCTCTGGAGTAAGTCACTGTCCCCAGTGGCCTTTCCACGCTGGCTGCAGGGTCCCGTGCTGTGCTAACGTGGGCTGAACTTTCCTCCATCTATTGCACGTACAAATGGGGCAGGGTCTGGATACAGAGGGACTGGGAGGGTGAGGGTTCCCTTCTGGGTGAGAATCTAGCAAATAAAGTTGGATCCTCCAGTTTTCAGTCTGCAGCATCTTTCTTGGGCGCTCAGCCTTCACCCAGGAAGGGAGCGTGGGGCAGCACGGGCTGCAAGGAGGGCATGTCTCTGGCTGGTTTTCTGCAGCTCCCCAACTGCCCTGTGCCAGAGAGGAGAAAAGCTACAGAAGGGGACAAGCAAGGGAATGCAAAAATACTCCTTAGAAGAGCTAGGTTTAAGGCTATCCCCATTGGAAGAGGAGGGGGAGAAGGGTCAAGTACTGTCCAGCGGTTACAGGAGGCTCATCTGGGGCATGCACAGAGAGAACTGGGGGTTTTCTCAGTGCAGCTTCTCTTGCAGCAGGCAACGAGAAAGCGGCTGAGCTCAGCACAGCAAGGCAAGCAGGCGGCTGGGAGCAACCATTCGGGGTCCGCTCCGTGCTGCAAAGATGCTGCGGGTGGGGACTACTGCCCTCCTTGTGTCACTGGTGCTGGCTGTGAGCATCCTGTATCACACTGCGCTGCAGCTCTCCTGTCACCTGGGACTTGCCTGTTAATGTGGCTCCATCACCAGAGCAGCGAGCTTCTACTGTAGCCAAAAGAGAGTCAAAGGCAGGGTTTAGCTTCAAAGCACTTGTAATATGTTCCTAGATTAGGCAAGGTAAAAAACCCTTCACACAGAGCGTCAGGAGTACAAAATGTCCTTTTGCATTAATATTCATCTGTTCACACCGTGTTAGCCGTAAGCCACGGGCTGAATAGTCGTCACTGGGAGCCCTTGCAAAGTTCGGTTTGCTGCTGCTTTGGTTATTGCTTTTATTTATTCTTGCTATTTGGTCCCTAGGAGTTAAACCCAGCAAGCACCACTGCCCCAGCAAATGCAGGACACTGCCAGGGGATTCAAAGGAGTAGGCAGACTTTTGCGTCACTGGGTCGAGTGGACATACGGAGGGAGAAGTTTAAATATAGGCTGAATAAAATAGAACAGAGAGAGATGTGTGTCCAAAGGGCCATAAAAAGATTTGCAGCCTCTCAGCCCTGCACGATGAGGCTTCGCAGTAGGCGGCATCCAGCACTGCTGTTGCTATGTTGGAGGGGTTTACCTGCCCCTCTGGGGGCTTGTTCTTCCCAGCGATCATTCTGTGCATGTCCAGAGACTTTAATTCCAGAATTGAAGGCACTCCTCGGTGCCTTATGCTTTATCTGGCCAAGAAGTTGCCTTTTCCATCACCTTCTAGCCCTTCGGCAAATGTGGGGCAGCCCTACAGATGTGCAGCCCTACAGATGTGCAGCCCTGATCTGCATCACCTGCTTTCAGTTGCAAATCTCCAAATGCTTTCATCCATCTAGAAATTAAGGAGTAAAGCACGACAGAGACTGAACTTCCAGGGAGGGGTTCGCAGTCCCACATTGGTGAGGATATTCAAACTGGTATACCCTGTTAAGTCCCACCTCCAGCCAACCATCAGGGCAATACGTCTGCCTTGCGTGGCCTTTCCTCGTGGGCTCCACGATTCTTGAAGGTGGAGTGGATATTTCAAAGGATAGTTCCTCTTCTGGAAACACAGTGCACAACCAGCCTTGGCTTGGGCTGGATCAGGATCCAGGTTCAATCCTGCTGCTTTGACTTGGGCAAGATTCCCACAAAGGCATCACTGGTGCTGTGGGAGAGCAAAGCTGCAAACAACGTGATTAATACTTAGAGGACCGGGGTTTCCAGCAGGGATCATTTGCAGTTGCTTTCCACCAGTTGCAGCAGGACACTGGTCACATCATGCATAGCCCTGAGTGGTGGTAATTATCATGGCGTGTCCTGGTTGCAGGCTGGCTCAAGCTGCAAGGTGGGAAAAACCAGGAGCTGTTTTGCTGCTTTATTTTTTTTAATTATATATATTTGGTCGTCTTTGGGAGGGAGAGGGTGAAAAAAAACCCATACAGCCCTCCTGGAAGGTGCATTAATCCATGTAGGCATGAAAGAAAAGAGAGGACACTAGGGCAGACATTACTGCAAAACTCTAAGAGAAGAAAAAAGAAGGGGATATTTTTGTGGTCCCGACATTTAATGTAAAACAGAGCTCTGATGTAATCAAATACAGAAAGAACTTGTAGTTCTTGCTAAAAATACCTATCTAGAATATAAATACACATTATCATGTAGCTGCAAGGCTTATGGAGATATCTGCTACAGTCTTATATTTACAGATAGGGATTTAAATGTTTAATACTGCACATTCAAAAGAAAGTCAGTTCATCTGAAGTAGTTATTAATTATAGAATGCGCTTGGCAGGACTGAAGTGCAGCAGGAGTGCTATCATTTTCAATATCACTCCCAAATTATTTCTCATCTAAAACCTATCATGTGCACTTTTTTTTTTCTTCTTAAAATAGATCTGGTTTTCCATATTAGGCAGTTGTCCTGGTTTCGGATGGGATAGAGTTAATTTTCTTCCTAGTAGCTGGTACAGTGCTGCGTTTCGGATTTAGCATGAGAATAACACATTAGCATGTGTGATAACGCATTGATGTTCTAGCTGTTGCTAAGCAGTGTTTATACTAAGTCAAGGACTTTTCAGCTTCCCGTGCTCTGCCAGCAAAGAGGTGCACAAGAAGCTGGGAGGGGGCACAGCCAGGACAGCTGTCCCAAACTGGCCAAAGGAATATTCCATACCATACGGCGTCATGCTCAGTACAGAAACTGGGGGGAGTTGGCCGGGGGGGCAGCGATCATTTTTTCATTACAATTTGTTGTTGTTGTTATTTTATTTCAATTATTACACTGTTCTTTTCTCAACCCGCAAGTTTTCTTGCTTTTGCCCTTCCGATTCTCTCCCCCATCCCACCAGGGGCGGGGAGGGTGAGCGAGCGGCTGCGTGGTGCTTGGTTGCCAGCTGGGGTTAAACCACGACAGCAGTGTATGGCTTGGAACGGCTGTCTCTGACATGCCAGCACATCCTCCCTTAGATGCCTTCATCGCTCTCCTGCACAACTCTCACATCCCTAACTCCAGGGGAACATAAATCTGAAGCCTTTTTATCCAGTACAGC